ACAGCAGAACACTCTTTTTATTCATGTTTTAATCCTCATGTATTAGAGTGAATTTCAAACACTATCATGAATACATATATTTTTATATTAATTTCCTTTACTAACTTTTATTTAAACATTACAAAAGTTGGGCATTGGTAAGGACACCTGGTTTTACAGGTTATTTTATGCCCCATGATCAACATTGAATCATTCAATGACAAAAATACCACCTCCACATCCTATTTATTTTGGTAGGTTTTTTTCTGATGTTACAAACTGAATTGAGAAATTGATGCAAATAAATTTGTGATAGTGAAAATTGTTTTTTCTGTTCCAACTGAAAACTTAAATTCCCAAGGGACATTAAAAAAGGGGAATGAAAGGGAAATCATTTAAACAAATGAGATATATACTTTGGCGGCAAAATATTAATCAGGCACAATAAAAAAGCTTGAAGCCAGAACAAGAAACAATGGGAAGAAACTAATCTAGGAGATAACCAACCTAGACTTAAGGAAAAATTTCCTGACAGAACAATTAACCAGTGGAAAGACCTGCCTGCAGATGTTGTGGGTGCTACAACACTGGAAGTTTTTATGAACTGTTTGTCTGAAATGGTATAGGGTTTCCTGCCTGAGCAGGGGGTTAGATTAGAAGACCTCCAAAGTCCCTTCTAACTCAGTTATTCTCTTAACAGAAATACCAATGTATACCACACATTTTGAAGGCCCAAGATCAAACTGTTTGATTGATTGATTGATTGATAAAATGTATTGGCTGCATGATTTTCTCTTCCTAAGATGCCTTAGAAGATATAATCTTTCAGACAAACAATTGTGACAGAGCTTGGCTACATGAATATACTACCCATCCATCATTCTTTTGTTCATCTCAATATCTTAAAAGAGACAAGTCAAAAATCATGTTTTGTCAAATGGAATCCCGGTAAAATGAGAAAAGGGAATAAAGTCCACTGCATCCTAAAACCAACTCAGTTTGGACTACTTTTAAGAAAGGAAAGTTATAGGGAACTGTTCTTTGGTTTGCAGTTTTCAAGGAAACCTGTGGAGAATAATATGCAGTGGGATTTTACAGAGAAGGCTGCCCTCTTGTGATACACAGATGGAGTACAGATAACAGATTTAATTTATCCTATTCTAAACAGGGAAATTACCCTCAGGAGAGTTATTGAATTCCAGGAAATCTACAGAGGTCTCTTAAGAAAAGCGACAGTACAGCTAACACTGATTTTGAGCTCACTCACAAGAAATCATATTGATTAGTAACTGTGGTACAATTTTTTAGGGAAAGGAAAAGGAGGAAAATGTTATATCTCCTAAATTTCATAAAATTATGGAATGCATGGCTTGGAAAGAAAATTTTGAATCATTCAAACAAACCTCCATCATTTCAAGGAGTGTAGAAACCACTTTGACACATGTTCCTCCATAATCTTTTAAATCCTGCAATGAATGGTATGTAGAAGAGTTCATTTTGCCTCCCAGAAGTTATATAAATATAACTAACATATAACATGTAAATCACTTACAGAAGTTGGTATCATTCCTAGAGATGCTGTTTCATGGTTTAATAGTCTATATCACGCCTTTTCAACCAGTGGTACGGGTACCACCTGTGGTACATTGGCACTAGGCAGGTGGTATGCGACCATCCTAGAAAAGTGGTAGTTGGGGAGGGGAATGAGCTGAATCGGTAGCAGCACCGCACAATCCTGAGCGAGAGATGGCTGGAGCTGCAGGGCTGTCAGGGCTCAGCGGAAGCGCCAGGATCAGTGCCAGGCTCCAACTGAGCCCAGAAGAAGTGCCGATCAGCTGGAATGTTGCAGCATTTCCAGGGTCTTGTGATTTACATTCAGATGCTTGGCAACTGATTCATATTTATGACAGTCACAGTGCCCCAGGGTCATCTGAAGTGACCAAAACCTGCTGCGACCACCCAGCAGAGGGGGGGGGAATAAAAACCAAATACCTCCCCCACCCCACCCCCGCTGCCATTCCTCAACAGAAATGCTCAAAACAATGAAAACCTCAGACAGGAGGAAGAGGGCGGCGGGGCAGGCAGGCAGGTATCTTGCTCGGCTGTGGATTGGGGGACACTTTTTTCAGTGCCATTGTAACTTCAAACAGTCACTAAGCGAACTGTTGTAAGTCGATGACTACCTGTACTTCATCACTTTTTTTTCCTTTTTTGGGAGGGTCATCAGGTTTTTGACACCTTGCTAGGCGACTGGTGGTACTCAGTTGTTGCCATATCCTAAAAGTGGTACAATGGGTGAAAAGGTTGAAAAGCCCTGGTCTATATTGCCTGAATCAATGTATGTTCTGTTCTGCATGAAGAGCTAACTTCCTTTCTTTTTGATTCAGAGCATGGAAGCTGACTCAACCTGGACAGCAGCCATGAAGAATGAGGGATTTTGTCAAGCTTCACCATAGCTTCCTCTCACTGTGTGATTCTCTAGCACAATAATACACAGCGGTGTCCTCTGGTTTCAAGCTGCTCATTTGGAGATAAAGCATGCTGGAGGCATCGTGCCGGGAGATGGTGAAACGACCTTTCACTGAATTGGCATAGTATTGGGTGTTCCCATCTGCAGGGTCATCTATCCACGCAAGCCATTCCAGGCCTTTCCCTGGAGCCTGTCTCAGCCAGTTCATCTCATAGCTGCTGAAGGTGAATCCTGAAGCTTGGCAGGAGAGACGGAGGGACTCCCCTGGCCTTCTCACATCCCCTCCAGATTCCACCAGCTGGACCTCCATTTGGACATCTGGAAAGGAAATATTGATATGTACATTTTAACTATCCAGCATGCTGCAGTCCATGAACCTCAAGCATATTGGAGCCTGTTAGCTGCCATCTCTTTATGGAAGAACTATTACCTTTGATGATTGTTAAAATGGAGAGTATGTGGAGCAAAAATATCATTTTTCTTTCTCAGTGGAGAAGTTCCAGGCAGACTAGCTTTTTCTATTCAGGTTGAGGAGGGTGGGAGATGATGTCATATAAAGAGGAAGGTTAGGCCTATATTTACATACACTTCAGGATAAAAAGGAGCCAGCGTTGGCTTTTAATATCTCCAAGAGTCTTTGAAAAACCTGAAACATTGTATGAAGATTAAGTTCTTATTCTTATAGTAATTTCCTTTATTGACTTTTATTGAAGCTTTATCAATATTGGGCATTGATAAGAGTGCCTGTTTTTACTGCTTATGTTATGTCCAATGATCAACATGGAATCATTAAGTGGGCACCATATAAAAACTGATAAAGAAATTTAACAAGTTCTAAAAGTGGAGTAAAATAACAATGCAATAAAATATTGAATAAAAAATGATAATGTGAAATACCACCTCCACATCTTATGTATTTCTATCGGTTTTTTTTCTGATGTTATAATCTGTTTTCTGATTGATAATCTACTCCTCAATTTGAAAGACTCAAATTCAAATTTCTGTGACTGAATCCACTTGGTCTGAGGGAGAGAAGGTTATTGTCTGGCTTCAGATTCACTTCCTCTCACTGTGTGTCTTGCACAGTAATAGACGGCCGTGTCTTCAGCTTTGAGGCTGTTCATCTGCAGATACAGCTGGCTTTTGGCATTGTCCCTGGAGATAGTGAAGCGTCCCTTCGCTTTGTCTGAGTAGTAAACAGTACTAGAACTGGGGTTTATGTATGCTACCCATTCCAGTACTTTTCCTGGAGCCTGTCTCATCCAGTGCATGTAGGCATTATTGAAGGTGAATCCAGAGGCTTGGCAGGAGAGACGGAGAGACTCTCCAGGTCTTCTCACTTCCCCTCCAGACTCCGCCAACTGAACCTCAGATTGGACACCTAAAATGAAAGTTGTTTCAGTGAATTTTACAGTGTACAATAATTAAAATGGAAAAAAAAACCTGAATACAGAGGATAGAATTACCTCTGGTTATTGCTAGAAAGGACACCAAGTTTAGCCACAGGATCATTTTTGCTTCCTCTAATGCAGTGGTTCTCAACCTTTTTAATGCCGCGACCCCCAACCGGTCGTAAGTCGAGGACTAAACCGGTCGTAAGTCGAGGACTAAACTGGTTGTACGTCGAGGACTAAACCAGTTGTAAGTCGAGGACTACCCAACCGGTCGTAAGTCAAGGACTTTCCCTGCCCGGGAGCGCCACGCATGCGTGGTTCCGCTCCCTGCGCCGGCCAAGGCGTAGCTGGCAAGCGGCAGAGACTGAGCAGGCCGACCACCAGCTGGCCCAGCCCAAGGGAGGTAAGGCACCCGCCGGAAAAGGGAGAAAAAAATGGCGGACAGCCTTGCTTGGCAACCCCCGTGAAATGGTCGATCGACCCCAAATGGGGTCACGACCCATAGGTTGAGAACCGCTGCTCTAATGAGTGGAGAGGAGCAGATGGTAGAAGATTTGGGAAAGTGCACAAATTTGTCCTGGTAGGTGTAACCTGAAAAAGAAAGACAGGCAGCTCCTTTAAAGGGGAAATTGTGCCCTGATTTACATATTGCTTAGGATAAAAGAGCACCTCAGTGCATTCAATTAAAAATGTTTTTGGGACAGACCTTACAGATGTTATTTTCAAGTAGTGTTCCACTCCTAAGAAAAGTGATGCCCCACATGCTTTCTTCTGGGTTTTTTTGTGAATGCATAGGAGAAAGGGCACATGTATATGATAGAGTAAGTAAAAGAAAGACTTGACCCATTCCACCATTTCTCAAAAATGAGTTAATGTAGAATTTAATCTCCTAACTACATTGGCATTAGAAGATTTCCTACCCTCCCTCCCTCCCTCCCTCCCTCCCTTCCTTCCTTCCTTCCTTTTTTCTTTCTTTCTTTCTTTCTTTCTTTCTTTCTTTCTTTCAATGGTGACTAATTTGTAGTGAACAATTTGTAATCCAGTTATAAGGTCCATTTAGCTTAAAAAGAAAAAAAAATCAAATGTTATGTGCCAAATGTTCTCTTTGTTGAATGAGAAGATTCTAAATAACCTTTTTTATTTTCCAGGAAATTCAATTTGTTATACATCTAAGCCAGGGGTATCAAATTCAATTTCACTGAGGGCCACATCAAAGTTGTGGTTGACCTCGGGGGACCTGGTGGGTGTGGTTGGGGTGAGCGTGATCAGGGTGGATGTGGTCAGGTTGGGTGTGGTTGAGGTGGGCATGGCCAGCTAGACATCACTTGTGTTGGGGGCCACTTGTGTGGTCCGGCGGAGCTGGCGGGGATCCAGTCTGGTCCTCGAGCTCCCAGGGCACTGGGATGCCACAGCCCAGCCAGCCCAGCTCTGATGTCCCAAGGGGGTGTCCTGCTGCACTTACCTCCTCCTCAAAGCTACTGCTGCTGTTCTTGCTCTCCTTGGCCAGGTTGCTCATAATGGGTACCAGGGCAAAGTCAGAGGGAGGCCCATTCCCTCTCCATGGGAGGAGACCTGGCTTTGTATCCAAAGCTTCCTTAGCAATAGGATGGGAGATCCCCAGGATAGGCCAGGAGGAGGGGGCAAGGGGATGGTGAAAGGGCAGCAGGGCAGGACTAAGGCAGGACTTCCTTCAGACCCTCTCTCTCCTTCCTTCCTTCCTTCCTTCCTTCCTTCCTTCCTTCCTTCCTTCCTTCCTTCCTTCCTTCCTTCCTAAGAACAGAGTGGTGGGAAAATATTTGAGATGAGGAAGGGAGAAAAACAGGCAAGAAATGCAGCTGGGGAGGTGTCACCCTTCGTGAAGAATGAAGAACTACACCATTGCCTAGAAGTGGCCAGCACATGGCCCTCACCTACTTCACATATCTGGCTTGGTGGGCTTTGGGGGAAGGGATGCCATGAGCAAAGTGAGAGTCGACATTACCTGCATAATGCTGTCCAGCCCCCAGCCTGCCTAGTTTCGGCAGGCAGCGAGGCGCTCTCCTCACAGTGCCAAGAGGCTGAGCCAGGCAGCGGGAATCCAAAAAGAAGCGTGATGCCAGCCAGCCCCCAGCCTGCCTGGTTTCGGCAGGCAGCAGGGCGCTCTCCTCATAGTGCCAAGAGGCTGAGCTGGGCAGTGCGAAGCTCACCAGCTTTGCACCTTGCTGCCTGCTGAAATCGGGCAGGCTGGGGGCTAGGCAGCATTGCACTTCTCATCAGGTTCACACCACCCAGCTCAGCTCTTGGTGCTGTGAGAAGAGCACCCCGCTGTCTGCAGAAACCCCTCCCCCGGAGTCCATCAAGCCGGATATGTGAAGTAGGTGAGGGCCATTTGCTGGCCACTTCCAAGCAATGGTGCATTTCTTCATTCCTCACAAAGGGTGACACCTCCCCAGCATGTACCCAGGGGGCGGGGCTGACACGGCAGGGGCTGGTTCCTCGCTGTTTCTAGACGGCCTTGTGGAGCTAAGACTGAATGCGTTTCAGCATAGATGGCCACCACAAAATTGTACATTGGCTCCTGGCCGGCCTTGGCCAGGGCCAAGGCAGAGGGGGCCGTTCCCTCACTGTTTCCAGGATGGCTTCGCGGGCCACATGAAACCACATCGCAGGCCGCATCCGGCCCCCGGGCCTTGTGTTTGACATGTCTGCTCTAAGCAATCTATTTGTTGTAATTTCAGATCATGGCTTCACAATATTTTTTACATAACCATGATTTATTTTATCCATTAAATTAGTTTTTTTTTTCTTTTAATTGTATTAATTAGATTTGGATGTCAAAGAAAGAGAAAAACCATGAGTTGAAATACATTATAGATGCAAAGATGCTGAATGTAACTCCTTGCCAAACTGGGGAGTATCTTTTTTAATTAAAGACTGCTGGCAACAGCCTGATTTAAGGGACAGCCCCAATCCATGTTTCTTAATTGGAAATAACCATCTGATTTCCTATTCTGGCCTTTCATTACTATGAATCTTGTCTGTAGAATTTTGAGATTGAATTTTCAGACAAATCTGACTTTGTTCTCTGAATTTCAACTGGATTTTGACCATTCCTGTGTGTGTTCCTGTTGAAAGCAAAAACTTTTAGACAACCTTTCTTTCCAAGAAAGTTTGTTGATTAACATTCCCTTGCTTGTCTGTTGTTATCTGCTCATCATTGAGTAAACAGCTTTCTTCACATAGTAACTCTGTTTGTGTGTGTGTGTGTGTGTGTGTGTGTGTGTGTGTGTGTGTGTGTGTGTGTGTGAGAGAGAGAGAGAGAGAGAGAGAGAGATATGAAACAAGACAATAACCTGAGGAATCCAGTATCTTTTCAGAAATATAATGAAAAATTGATAGAGATACGGAATATTGTACATTTAGATATTCTCGCATCATGAAGACACTAGATTAAAGTCTATGTTCTATCAGCATTTTTGTGGTGTCCCCATCTTTGAGGATTTTCACTTACAGAAGTTGGTATCATTCCTAGAGATGCTGTTTCATAGTGTAATAGTATATAATGCCTGAATCAATGTATATTCTTTTCTGAAAAAAGAGCTAACTTCCTTTCTTTTTGATTCAGAGCATGGAAGCTGATTCAACTTGGACAGCAGCCACGAAGAATGAGGGATTTTGTCAGGCTTCACCATAACATCCTCTCACTGTGCGTCTCTAGCACAGTAGTACACAGCCGTGTCCTCTGGTTTCAAGCTGTTCATTTGGAGATAAAGCATGCTGGAGGCATCGTGCCGGGAAATGGTGAAACGGCCTTTCACAGAATTGGCATAGTATTGGCTGCTCCCATCTCCATTATTGTCTATCCACGCAACCCACTCCAGTCCTTTCCCTGGAGCCTGTCTCACCCAGGCCATCTCATAGCTGCTGAAGGTGAAGCCTGAAGCTTGGCAGGAGAGACGGAGGGTCTCCCCTGGCCTTCTCACATCTCCTCCAGATTCCACCAGCTGGACCTCCATTTGGACATCTGGAAAGGAAATATTGATATGTACATTTTAACTATCCAGCATACTGCAGTCCATAAACCTCAGGCCTATTGAAGCCTGTTAACTGCCATCTCTTTATGGAAGAACCATTACCTTTGATGATTGTTAAAATGGAGACTATGTGGAGCAAAAATATCATTTTTCTTTCTCAGTGGAGAAGTTCCAGGCAGACTGGCTTTTTCGATTCAGGTTGAGGAGGGTGGGAGATGATGTCATATAAAGAGGAAGGTTAGGCCTGTATTTACATACACTTCAAGATAAAAAGGAACCAGCGTTGGCTTTTAAAATCTCCAGGGGTTTCTGAAAAACCTGAAAGGGTGTATAAAGATAATTTTCACCATACTATATGAATTAGCTTAATTTTATGACATAAAATATATACGGTTTAATGGTTCAATTTTCCATTGAATGTAATTTAAGGTCCATTGCTACAGCAGAACACTCTTTTTATTCATATTATTAATCCTCATATATTAGAATGTATTTCAAACACAATCATCAATACATGTATTTTTATAGTAATTTCCTTTATTGACTTTTATTGAAGCATTATAAAACTTGGCATTGATAAGAGTGCCTGTTTTTACTGCTTATGTTATGCCCAATGATCAACATGGAATCATTAAGTGGGCACCATATAAAAACTTATAAAGGAATTTAACAAGTTCTAAAAGTGGAGTAAGATAACAATGCAATAAAATCTTGAATAAAAATGATAATGTGAAATACCACTTCCACATCTTATTTATTTCTATAGTTTTTTTTTCTGATTTTTCAAACTGAATTGAGAAATCAATGCAAATAATTATTACATTGAAAATAGTTTTTTCTGTTCCAACTTAAGGATTAAATTTCCAAGGGACATGAAAAAAGGGGGATGAGGGGAAAATCATTTAAACAAATGAGATATATACTTTGGATGCAAGTATTAATCACTCTATAAAAAAAAAGGTTGAAGCCAGAACAAGAAGCAATGAGTGGAAACTAATCAAGGAGAGAACAACCTAGAACTAAGGAAGAATTTTCTGAGAGTTAGAACAATTAACCAATGGAAAGGCCTGCCTCCAGATGTTGTGGGTGCTCCAATACTGGAAGTTTTTATGAACCAATGTCCCTCCCAGCTCTATTCTGATTGAAGTTGAAACCCAGATGTTGACTTCAGTCACAGCTTGGGCACTGCTACCCAGTGTCCTAAATGTGGTGAGGGGGAAGAGATAGAGAATTATTTCTGTTTTATTCTATGTTTGTGTGTCTTTCAGGTGATTGGTTTGTTTAATGTGTGCCACTGTAATCATTTTCTTCCTAGAGCAGCAAGGGAAAAGCTTTCCTGCTGGTATATGAGATGGTTTCAGATTCACTTCCTCCCAATGTGTATCTTGCACAGTAATAGATTGCTGTGTCCTCTGGTTTCAGGCTGTTCATTTGCAGATACATCTGGCTTTTGGCATTGTCTCTGGAGATGGTGAAGCGTCCCTTCACTTTGTTCAAGTAGTAGGTTTCTCCTCCATCACTTTGTATCCAAGCCACCCATTCTGGGTCTTTCCCTGGGGTCTGCCTCAGCCAGTTCACATTACTCCCACCAAAGTTGAATCCTGATGCTTGGCAGGACAGACAGAGGGACTCTCCAGGTCTTCTCACATCCCCAACAGACTCCACCAACTGGACCTCAAATTGGACACCTGGAAAAAAAAATAATTTCTGAGTTATGTTGCATATAAAAAGAGAGAAATGTAAGAATGTGGTGTATGAATAAGAATATTTACCTCTGAGAACTGCTACTAAATATGACAAATAGAACCAAGATATTATTTTTTGTACACTTGGATGGGAGATGGTATGAAAAGCATTCAAACATGCAGCTACCCTTTATATTTCTGCTTGCAACCTGAGGACAAATGTGGTCTGGCTTATTTAGAGAGGAAGCCATCCTCCAATTTACATATCCCTCAAAATAAACCTTCTCATTCCTTTCTTCTTCTCAGTTCCTTGGACGTCTATTGAAGATATATTTTGGTGATGGTTAGCAGTTGGCTAGAACAGCAGAGAAGGAGGAACAGGAATGTTTATCAGAATGAAAGGGAGATTTTGCAGACTTGATAAAACAATGAAAAGGAGAGCTTTCTCTCTCCCCCCCCCAAAAAACAAACAAACAAACAAACTACTTTTCAAAGCCAAGTAGAAAACTGATAATTCAGCACATTTTACTTGGGGTGAGAACTTTGACATAAAAAAAAAAAAAATGCTGCAAGTGAGTTTACAAATAACTCTTATATTTTTAAGTTTTAAGTTTTAACTCTTATATTTAATAAGTTTTATTAATTAGATACAGGGAAAGAATATTCATTACCTCCAGGGATAATTCTAATAGCCAGATATACAGCATATACAGAATCAGCTAGACAGAATTATTTATGTAGACACATTACAGGCAACATTAAAGAGATAAAACATCTAGGTTCTTAAACATTCTTAAAGTGTTGTTTCTTTTTTGGAGGGTTCTCAATAATGGACAGTAGAGTTGTCCTTGATTTTTCCTTGATTTTTATATACAAGTAGTCTTCAACTTACAACCATTATCTTAGCAAGTGAAATTACTTCATCCAATCTGAAGTTGAAGTTCTGTAATGAAGCCTCCCCATGGTCAAGTGATTGCATTTTGGTGCTTAGCAACTGACCCACATTTATAATCAATCAATCAATCAATCAATCAATCAATCAATCAGAAAAGAGCTGGAAGGGACCATGGTGTCTTCTAGTCCAACCCACTGCTCAAGCAGGAGACCCTATATCATTTCAGATAAATGACTGTCCAGTCTCTTCTTAAAAACCTCCAGTGATGAAACACCTATAACTTCTGAAGGTAAGCTGTTCCACTGGCTAATTGTCCTCAATGTAAGGAAGTTTCACCTTAATCCCAGATTATTTCTCTCCTTGATTAGTTTCCATCTATTGTTTCTTCTTTTGCCTCCTGGTGTTTTGGAAAATAAATTGACCCCCTCCTCTTTGTGACAGGTCCTCAAATACTGGGATACTGCTATCATGTCCCCCCTGGTTCTTCTTTTCTCTAGACTAGCCGTACCCAAATTCTGCAACCATTCTTCATATGTTTTAGTCTCCAGGCCATTAACCATCTTAGTTTCTCTTCTCTGCACTTTTTCAAAAGTCTCAACATTTTTTTTTTGTATTTTTTTTATTTTTTTTTGAAAAATCATTTTTCAAAAGTCATTTGAAGCACCTCATGGTGAAAGGAATATGATCTTTTTTATTTCTGGAAACTACTTTGGCTTCTGGATTGTGGAAAAATTGCCCAATGGGAAAAATGGGCTCGTTTAATAACTGCCGTGTTCACTGCAATAAAGGTAGTAAATTTAGGTCCAATTGTATGATGTCCTGCTTTATGACCATCATGATTTACTAGGCTCAATTACAGTCATAACATGAGGACTAACTGTACATGTGTATGATTCTGGTTTTAATACTATAACTGCCTAAAGTCAGTGAAACAACAATAACCTTTCATTTTATTCATCAACCAGCATTCATGAAATCAGTAAATGAGATATGAGGGCTTTTTTTGGGGTGTACATACTGAAGCTTTTTATGTAAGATATTTAAAAAACTTTGAGAACTCTTGGGGAATTAATTTCCCAAGGAATCGTTTTTTTTCCTTCAAGAAACTATTTTAATTCTCCAGGAAGCAGCTGGAGAAGCAGTCATGTTCACAGCTGAAACCACAGATTTTATTTCAGTCATGGTCAAAATTATTACATGTTTTGCGCCTCCTTGTGATGTCCATTTGAAAAAAAAAAACAGAAGGTAATTGGATTTGTCTCTAGAGGTGGCAAAGCACCCTTTCATGGATTCCGCATAGACTTGTTTACTGGCATCATACAATTCATTCTCTTCCATTCCTTGGAGCCTGTCACACCCAGCTCACAACTGGTTATTGTTAGCTCTATGAACCATTACTGATTAGTTGTAACTGTAAATGCAGAGGTTCTTTCACCTTCAATTCAGGAAGAGAATATTACTTTGGGGTTCTATTTTCCCTAATTTATATGGGTCTAATTTGTTTTTTAAGACTTAAAATGTTCTACAGGTCCATGGAATATGTCTATTGCTGTGATGTAGATTGATCACCTTCTGCTCAGTTCAAAGACTCAAATTCAACTTTCTGTGACTGAATCCAGTTGGAGATCTGCTCTGAGGGAGAGAAGGTTCTTGTCTGGCTTCAGATTCACTTCCTCTCACTGTGTATCTAGCACAGTAATAGACGGCCGTGTCTTCAGCTTTGAGGCTGTTCATTTGCAGATACAGCTGGCTTTTGGCATTGTCCCTGGAGATGGTGAAGCGGCCCTTCACTGTGTCTGAGTAGTAAATAGTACCAGAACTGGAGCTTATGTATGCCATCCATTCCAGTCCTTTTCCAGGAGACTGTCTCACCCAGTTCATAGCATAGCTGCTGAAGGTGAATCCAGAGGCTTGGCAGGTGAGACGGAGGGATCCTCCAGGTCTTCTCACATCCCCTCCAGACTCCACCAATAGGACCTGAGATCGGACACCTAAAATGAAAGGTGTTTTTTTTTTAGCAAACATTCCTGTATAAAAGAATTAAAATGGAAAAACCTGTGTATAGAAGATAGAATTACCTCTAAAGACAGCTAGTAAAGAGACCAAGTTAAGCCACAGGATCATTTTTGCTCCTTCTGATGAATGGAGAGGAACTGATAGTAGAGAATTTGGGAAAGCGCACAAACTTTTCATTGGTGGGTGTAGCCTGAAAAGGGAAACCATGCATTTCTTTAAAGGGGAAATCGTGCCCCGATTTACATATTACTTGGGATAAAAGTGGCCCTCAGTGCATTCACATAGAGGTTTTTTGGACAGACCTAGCATATGTGTCTTTCAAACAATGCTCAATTATGATGCCAGATATACTTTGCTCTTGTTTTCCTGTGAGTAAACAGTAAAGAGTTCTTCATGTGTTTTAGCAAACAGAAAGTTGGTCAGAACTGATCAATTTGACTCACCTACTTCAATATTAGAGCTTTTCCAGATCACCAGTAGAGAAAATGAAAGGGGTCCTGCTCTACTTTCCTGCAGGGAGATATAACTTCCCCTGTTTAATTGAGACCATGAAAGCTGACTCAGCTTGTATTGCAGTCATGACCAATAAGGGATTTTGACAGGCTTCACCATAGCTTCCTCTCATTGTGGCTCTCTCCAGCACAATAATACACAGCCGTGTCCTCTGGTTTCAAGCTATTCATTTAGAGATAAAGCATGCTGGAGGCATCTCGCCGGGAAATGGTGAAACGGCCTTTCACAGAATTGGCATAGTATTGATTGCTCCCATCTCCATTATTGTCTATCCATGCAATCTGAAAGCTGTAAGCAATTCGTTGTTTCTGTTTTGTTCTGAGGTGTTTGTGTGTGTGAGAGAGAGACAAACCAGTACAGTCAAGTTAAGCATTTTCCAAATTTTGACAAGCTTAGCTGGAAAGGTCTATCATCTCTATTGTGGTGTTGAAGGTGAAGCTAGAGGCTCAGCAGGAGATATGGAGGGCCTCACCAGGACTTCTCACACCCCTTACAGACTCCACCACCTGAGCCATCAATTTGATAACTTCAAATGAGAGAAGAAAAAGTTCAAATCAAAGGAACCATTAAAGTTGAATATTAGTAGCTTTTCCTGTTCACCAGTAGATAAAATGAAAGGGGATTGGCTCTACTCATCTGCATGGAGAGCTACTTCCTTTGTTTTTAATTCATTGCCTGGAAGCTGACTCAACTTGGACAGCAGCCATCAACCAACGAGGGATTTTGTCAGGCTTCACCATAGCTTCCTCTCACTGTGAAGTCTGCAGCACAGAAATACACAGCAGTGTCCTCTGGTTTCAAGCTGTTCATTTGGAGATAAAGCATGCTGGAGGCATCGTTCCGGGAGATGGTGAAACGGCCTTTCACTGAATTGGCATAGTATCGGGTGTTCCCATCTGCAGGGTTATCTATCCACGCAAGCCATTCCAGGCCTTTCCCTGGAGCCTGTCTCACCCAGTTCATATCATAGCTGCTGAAGGTGAAGCCTGAAGCTTGACAGGAGAGACATAGAGATTCCCCAGGCGTTTTCACATCTCCTCCAGATTCCACCAGCTGGACCTCCATTTGGACATCTGGAAAGGAAATATTGATATGTACATTTTAACTATCCAGCATGCTGCAGTCCATTAACCTCAGGCCTATTGAAGCCTGTTAACTCCCATCTCTGTCTGGAAGAACCATTACCTTTGATGATTGCTAAAATAGAAATGAGTTGGAACAAAAATATCATTTTTCTTTCTCAGTGGAGAATTTCCAGGCAGACTAGCCTTTGCTCACCAGCCACAGCTTGAAGAGGGTGGGAGATGATGTCATATAAAGAGGAAGGTTAGGCCTGTATTTACATAAATATCAAGATAAAAGAGAACCAGATTTGGCTGATAATACCACCAAGATCATGGTCGTCAGCAAACAACCCACCAATAAATTCAGAAGGAATACCACTAGGAAAAGTTGAAAGGATCACGCACCTCAGTTTTAATTTACACAAAAGCTGGGACATGACTGTTGAAGTAAAGACAAGGATAGAAAAAGCCCGAACAGCATTCTTCAAAATGAAAAAGGTCTTCTGCAGTCACGACATAAGCCTAAGACTGAAAATCAGGCTTGTCAGATGCTATATTTTTTCTATCCTGCTCTATGGAGGAGAGAGTTGGTCTCTGACAGAAGGCCACCTGAAGAGACTAGAAGCATTTGAAATGTGGATTTACAGGCGGCTGTTACGCATAAGCTGGGTTGACAAGATCAGAAATGAGGAGGTGATAAGCCGCCTGGGAAAGCCAAGGGAAAACATCAAAACAATTAAAAAACGAAAATTAGAATATTTCGGACATGTGGTACGACACCCAGAAAAATACGGCATACTCCATTTAATCCTCCAGGGAAAGACTGAAGGCAAATGAGGTCCAGGCAGAAGAAGAACATCATGGCTTCAAAATCTAAGGGACTGGTTTGGACAAAACTCAGCAGCACTTTTTCGTGCGGCTGCTGATAAAAACAGGATCGCCAACATGATCGCCAATGTCTGATAATGGATATGGCACAAGAAGAAGACCACCAAGACTTTTTTAAAAACCTGAAAGGTTACATTCATCATATATATCAATTTAATTTTATGACGGGTACCCCCAATTTATTTTTTAAAGACCAGTTTGTCCCATTTCTGTAAATGGTTCAGAGGAGTTTTGAAAGGATTTTTCCATTTAATATAATTTAATGTTTATTGCTGCAGGAAAAAACTTTTTATTCATAATAATCAGACAATCGTAATAGAACTGGAAAGGGTCTTTGGTGATTTCCCCCTGCTCAGACAGATGATCCTATACCATTTCACATAAGTGACAGTCCAGTCTTTTCTTAAAAATCTCCAGTGATGAAGCACCTACAACTTCTGAAGGCAAACTGTTTTTAATCTTCAGATTTTACAATGCATTTCACACACTATCGTGAATGCATGTTTTTTTTTATATTAATCATTTTATTGACTTTTATTGAAGCATTATGAGAATGGGGCATTGATAAGGAGCCCCTGGTATTACAGGTTATGTTATGCCCCATGATCATTCAAGTGGGCATAATATTAAAAATGGTAAACAGAGGAATTCAACAACTTCCATAAATGGAATAAGCTAAAAATACTTCTTTTTCTTCTTGTTGTGCCATATCCATTATCGGACGTTGGCGATCATGTTGGCAATCCTGTTTTTATCAGCAGCTGCATGAAAAAGTGCTGCTGAGTTTTGTCCAAACCAGTCCCTTAGATTTTGAAGCCACGATGTTCTTCTTCTGCCTGGACCTCGTTTGCCTTCAATCTTTTCCTGGAGGATTAAATGGAGTATGCCGTATTTTTCTGGGTGTCACATCACTAAAAGTACTACAAATATTAAATAAAAAATTAATACTGTAAAATACCATCTTCACTTCCCATTTATATCCATAGGTTTGTTCTGATGTTTCAGACTGAATAGGAAATTAATGGAAATAACTGTATTAGTTTGAAAATTGTTTTCTGTTCCAACTTAAGATATAAAGACATTAAAAAGGGGGATGATGGGAAAGTCCTCTAAACAAATGAGGGATATCTACTGGGGATGCAAAATATTAATCAATCTCAATAAAAGAGGTTGAAGGTAGGACAAGAAGCTACAGATAGAAATTAATCAAAGAAAGGACCAACCTAGAACTAAAGAGGAATTTCCTGACAGTTACAACAATTAATCAGTGGAATGACTTGCCTCCATAAGTTGTGTGTGCTCCATCACTGCAGGTTTTCAAGAAGAGATTGGACAACTATTTGTCTGAAATGGTATAGGGTCACCTGCCTGATCAGGGAGTTGGACTAGAAGACTTCCAAAGTCCCTTCTAACTTTGTTATTCTGTTATTCCTATTAAGCCATATAAACATTTAGAGAGACAATTGTGACAGAGCTTGGTCACTACTGATACTACTGGTCCCTCAATCTTTCATTCTTCTCAATATTTTGGAAGAGATAAGTGAAAAATCAGTTTATGCTGAATTGATGTCCTGGTAGAATGAAAAACAGGAATAAGGCCCTAAAACCAATTCAGTCTGGATTACTTTTAAAGAAGGAGAATTAGAGGGGAGTCTTCTTTGGTTTTCACAGAGAACAGTGCAATTTTTCAAGCAAAACCCTTGGAGAATAATATGCAGTAGGATTTTACAGAGAAGGCTGCCCTCTACTGCTAAACAGATAGCAAGTTTAATATCTGCTTCTCTTCTAAACAGGGAAATTAGCCTGGGAGGAATGATTGATCTCCAGGAGAAAAGTGACTGTAGAGCCAAAGCTGATTTCAAAATTGTTCATGGGAAATTATTTTGATTAGTAATTCTGGCATAATTTTTAGGGAGTGGAGAAGGAGAGAAATGTTATCATGACTCCTAAATTTAACAGAATTATGGACTGTATGTCTTGGAAATAATGTTTTGAATCATTCAAACAAATCTCCAACAGTTCAAGGAGTGTAGAAGTCACCTTGACACATGCTCCTCAACAATCTGTTTTAAATCCTGCAGTGAAAGGTACGTAGAAGAGAGTTCAGGGCAGACTGTACAAAAAGGCTTATTTTAGTTCAAAAAAATTGGTTTGCGCCAAACTCCTGTTAAATACATCTCTGCCATTATTTTGATTTTGTTTTCATATGGTCTCTTCTGTTTCCCCTTTGGTTGGATGGCTGTGGAGGCCTGGAGCAAAGACTTATTTAAAGAGGACGTTGCCCTGCAATTTACATATCCCTCAAAATAAAAGGCCTTCTCACTCCTTTCTTCTTCTCAGTTCCTTGGATGTCTATTCAAGTCATAGTACCTCTCCCTGGTGTTTGCTGACTCTCATACCTCTCGTTGGGAGAGGGAGCTGGCGAAGAAACTCCACTTGCTAGGTTTTACGGGGGATGCTCTGGGAGATGATGGTCTCAAGGATGCCCAGTTTAGGGTAGTCCAACGGCTTGTGGACATAGATTTGCAATATTTAAGAGCCAGAGCCAACAAAACCTGCTCCCCTTTGATCTTCAGCCATTCTAATAATCATGGATTGAGGATGGCTTCATATTTCTATACTCTAACCATCCCCAAGTATAGAAGAGTCTTTTCCCTGGCCCGTTTCAATGTCTTGCCCTCAGCACTACTCGATGGGCGATTTAAGAGGCTCCCGTTTAGT